AATTAGAAGGTTCAATAACACCTTCTTGCAGTAACCGGTTGACTTCGGTGGAAATAAAACTTTCATCTTCACGAGAATAACGCCGGGATTTTATCGCGATCGGTTTACAGTCTTTTGAAAGATTTTCAAACAGGGTAGGCAGGTCGACGCGAACACAAGGTAGACCACAGAGAGAAAAAGGCGGCTTTGATCCCCCAAAAGGAATCTCAATGTGTTTGTGAAGTTTTAAAAAATCATGTCCAAGAAGGACGTCTGCACATAAATTATGAAGAATGGAAAATTTGAATAGATCATAAGTGTGGTTTTTATAGCAGATGGATAGAAAACAATGTCCTTCAGTATGACTAGTAAGATTCGTACTCGCCATTGTGATTCTGTTTCGAGACTTATGGACTTTCCAGTTATACTTACGAACAACTGAGGAAGAGATGTAGCTCTCACTGCTTCCGGTATCCACTAGAGCTTGCATTGATTTCCCATTGACAGTAAGCTGCGTAACAGCATCAGTGAGACTTTGAGGTGCTGAAGCCACAACGAGAGATGAAATTATAGAGTTAACTGAAGATGGACCTTTTTTCGTAGATGGCGCAGACCTGCAAACCTTCTGAAAATGTCCTTGCTTGCCACAAGCTTTGCAAACTGCATCACGGGCGGGGCATTTGGAACGAGGATGTCTACGATTACCACAGAAAAAGCATTTGGATTCAACGGCAGCAATGGTTGTTTCATTGACGGAGGGTGTGGAATCTGATGAATGAGGTACATCATGTAAAGAAATGGACGCGCAAGGTGTAACAGGATTGTTGTATGACTGCGATTGTTGATGTGCCATCTCTAGAGCTCGTGCTTGATCGTATGCCGCTTGAAAAGTTAAAGTACGCTGTTCTAATAGCCTCTGGCGTATCATCGAAGACTGTATACCTGAGATGAATGAATCACGTAGAGATTCGTTACGATGTTCTTCGGCTGTAACTGCCCTGAATGAACAATCTGTAGTCAGCGACTTGAGTCGACGAACAAACTGATCCAGATTTTCGCCAGATTCTTGTTTACACGTTGCTAACAAGTGTCGAGCAAACACTTCGTTGCAAGGCTGCATGTAGAGACTCTTGAGAGTGTCGATAGCTTCTTCGTATGTTTTGCATTCAGAAATGCATTCGTATACAGAAGTAGAAATATGATTGAAGAGAATATGTAGTTTCGAAGGATTTTCGGATCCCATTGATTCAATGAAGTAGGAAAAGTCGCAAACCAGTGATCCCACTTCTTGGCAGCTCCAACTGCGTTAGGTTCTACGTCGAACCGATCAGGTCGGAAAAATCGTTCCATGAATATTGTAAAATGAATAAATTGTTACGAAGGTGATTGAGTCTTAGAACGATGAGTGATGCTTGAATCTTGAAAAGACGAATGAACCAAGAATTTAGGCTTTATTCATTTTACAATGAAGCCGGAATGGCTTAAACATATAAAGGAAAAAAAGAGTGTTAATAGCGGTAGAGATATGAATATGACTAGATACGTATTATAAGAAAAGTTCACAACAATGGGTAGTACTAACTTTTCTAGTCACGCACGTCAATTACCACGACTTATTGTATCATGGAGTGTGAATGCGGTTACCGAACATTAAAAACTTTGTCGGCAAAGTTAAAGTATCATAGCCAAAGCCAAGGTCCTTAAAAAGTTGACTTTCAAGAACCGATCAGAAATAGGGAATGCTATGAAATGTCGTTCCAAATCAAATCATGCCTGCCTTTTGGGACTTGGAGAGGATAGACACAGTATTCTATTTATTTACTAGGTACTTTTTCTGCAAATATATGCTGTTAGGTAGGGTTATGGCTTCTTGTTATATCTTTAGGGAATTGAATGATGACGTTTTCACCTTATTCTGTCTGCGCCTGAACTAATCTGTCTATCTGCTCGTCGTACCTTCCGACTTAGTAAAGCACGCAAATATCAAAAGACAAAGGCTGGACTGTGACTGTGTATTGAGGTGCAACAACGATAAAGAAAGCCATGGTATTTATACATTTTACAACAATATGGACAGCTAACAGCATTTGAAATAATTGACCTTAATAGCCAATAACAAAGTGTGTGAGAAATGATAATATGCCATATGTGCGACATTGACAGTCAGTAACAAAATGCGTGGGAATGATTATATACCATATATACAAAATTAGCAGTCACTACCAAAATGCGTGAGAATGATGATATACAAAATTAGCAGTCACTACCAAAATGCGTGAGAATGATAACATACCATAAATGCAAGTTTAAACAGTCAATACCAAAATATGTGGGATCCTATCACCTCCCCCCGTAAAGAGTGTAGGACTTGCTTTTTGGATCTATTTGAAAAGGTTTCGGAGCTCTTCTTTGTCGAGTTGACCTTTGCGTGGTACTGGATAGAGCGTGATCTGTGTGTCTGCCACATAACTGTCCTTTTTCATTCGTACGATAATGCAGCAAGAATTTATCCAAAATTTTTTTCTGTTGTTCCCTCCCCCTTCGCTTTTGCATAAGCACGCTTAAAGGTGTCGACGAAACGTTCAGTAATAGTTGACGTAGGAGGGACACTGTTGCAATTGATGTGGCAGAATGCATAGGAAATATCTCTGGCCATTTGGAAAACGCGTCGACACATATTAAGAAATGCATACTATTGAACGGTCCAGCGAAGTCAACATGAACACGGGACCATGGTTTGTCCGGTCGTGGCCAGGAACATAGTTCTGTCTTGCGTGGACACTTTGATGCTTGAGCACATTTACTACACTTGCGAACGAGGTCTTCGATATGGTCATCGATGTTGGGCCAGTAAACATAACTGCGAGCGATCGCCTTCATTCTCCCAACACCAGGATGTGATATATGAAGCTGCCGAAGCACATGGTCACGAAGATTAGCTGGAACGACAACACGATCAGCAAACATTATGCATCCATTAACGATGGATAGGGATTTGCGTCGCTGGTAAAACTGTTTTAAAACATTTGAATGAACATGTGGAGGCCAGCCACATCGGATGAACTTTGATACTTGCTGTAAAACTGGATCACGCAGTGTGTGTCTGGCAACCTCAACTGCAGTCACCGGAAGATCGTCCAGAGAGATAGACATTATAATTGGGTTGTAATTTACACAGTCAAAAATGTTATATAGTTGCGCTGAACAGAATAAAAACTGTCGTCGTTTGCGTGCTATAACTGCAATGAATTAAAGTAAATCCACGTCGCCAATTGTTGTAACTGCACTGAATTAAGGTAAACCCATTGTTATATCTGCACTGAATTAAGAACCGTCGCCAATTGTTATATCTGCATGAATTAAGGTAAACCCCGTCGCCAATTGTTATAACCGTGGGGAATTGAATGATAGACGTTTTCACCTTATTCTGTCTGCGCCTGAACTAATCTGTCTATCTGCTCGTCGTACCTTCCGACTTAGTAAAGCACGCAAATATCAAAAGACAAAGGCTGGACTGTGACTGTGTATTGAGGTGCAACAACGATAAAGAAAGCCATGGTATTTATACATTTTACAACAATATGGACAGCTAACAGCATTTGAAATAATTGACCTTAATAGCCAATAACAAAGTGTGTGAGAAATGACAATATGCCATATGTGCGACATTGACAGTCAGTAACAAAATGCGTGGGAATGATTATATACCATATATACAAAATTAGCAGTCACTACCAAAATGCGTGAGAATGATGATATACAAAACTAGCAGTCACTACCAAAATGCGTGAGAATGATAACATACCATAAATGCAAGTTTAAACAGTCAATACCAAAATATGTGGGATCCTATCACTTCTAAGATTAAGGTTTATTGCCTAGGGTTAAGGGTTAAAGTTAGGATTAAGAGTTAGCATTATGATGCACATGGTCCGGTGTTCGACACACTCCTTTACCTTGCTAAGCCAGAAATAAAGCTGATAAAGAGGAAAGGTTGGGCATTAGGCCAGCAGCCCCATCCTGTAAAAATAAACACCACTGCTACAGGAACTTCAAGCCTCTAGCTTAAAGCCTTATGTTCCACCGGGAACGTGAAGGAATAATAATAAATTATGATTAGAGTTAGGAGTAGGTCGAGGAGTAATGTCACAAATACCAATAGCTCTCAAAGTACCATGACCTACAGTCACCTGGATGAATGGGTATATCCCGCATGGTACGATTTATGTATAAATCATCTGTACAATGACTGGGAGACATTCTTGCAACACATAAGCTACAACTATAGAGTGTAATATCAAGTTTGCAGAATATTTTAGTGTATTTTTCAACGTCTATGCGACTTTTTCGAGTCTGGGTTCTGGCTGGTTGTGTGAGGTCACTGTGGTTTAGGCTATAATAGTTTAACTTTGACACTACCTTCAAATTTTATCAAGCTATTCCCAGATTCGAACATTAAAGTGTTATTATCATCTATATAACCATGTAATTTCAGGTAGTCTGCAGCTGATGAGAACCTGTGAAATAGAATGATATCATTTTATACTGCAAATTTCGTCTTCCTCTCTTTATCGAAATTAAATGTGTCCCTATCAAGTTTGGGTTGATTCCTAAAGTAACCCTATGGGGAAACTTATAACTTCAAGTTTATGCTTGAAGTCCTTAAATTCAATATTTACACAGTATGAGTAGTGTGGAAAAAAATGGAATAGACTTCTGCCAGACGTGAAAAATCATATTACTTCAACATCTTTTCAACATCTAATCACCTTAGATAAATAGTGTCAGTAGGTATTTCACTGGTATTACTCGGTATTATTGTAAGTTTAAACTTAAGACCAAATTTGGTCGTTAGTGGTCTGCAGACCACTTGGATACAAAAAAATGACCCAAAACAAGTTTTTACAAAAACACGCCCAAGAAATTGAAAACTGAACTAATATAGGCAGTAAAAGGGGTTCGCATTATAATCATATAACTGAGTTCCACTCATGAAATACATAAACATGCAGACCACTTACCAGAACTTGATTTGGCGCCCCTCGCCTCATGCTCTCCTCTGATTGGTAGATATTCGCCCTAGTGAAGGTCATTTCGGATTAATATCCAGATTTTTGGTTGAAGTGCTTTTGAAACCTGTATCATTCCTTTCCTAACAGTTATCTGTCCTTACCTTCAAAGAGTCTAGTGGGGGTTCAGACACCATTTCCTATGGGAGTCGGTGAGAGAACCAGTTCTCCACAGAAGTATAGTTCCTAATTGGTTTTTGAAATCTTCTGCTATGTCCCCTGAGGTGCTCTGACAGAGTGATAGTAAACCAGAAGACGTATCAAGCTTATAGTCATTTCCTAGAGTTTTGAACGGTGTGATGAGATTTCCTTAGTCAGCTATATGATAAAGAGAAGTGGTTCAGACTGTCGTGGATTTCCTGATAAATTATTCGTATCAGGAATAATATGCATTACATCTTTCCTCTTCTGAAGGCTAGGACTTTCTGCCTTTGTGCACTTTTCAAGTTTAAAACTCATTAGAGAAGTATTTAGACTGACGGAAATGTCACTGATCCTACACACACTGACAAGAATCCCAAAATTTTGGCCGTCACTGAGCGATGATACGTTGTACCTCTTTTGCCATAACTTACCACCGCACCTAGATCCGTGTGCGTCTGCACCGTTGGGGGTGGTAGTACCTCTCTGTCCTTAATCTGATACTTATATGCCAAATGCGCGCGGTCTTGCAATTGGTTACGTTGATTGGACGCTAACAGTTTGCTGGAACCTACTTGCGACGAAAGCATGTCACTGTCATCCCCAAGTTATCATTATATTCACGGTTGTCTCAGCAAAAAAAGCACGGGAGGTCTACTGAGCTCGAGTAATTCGCTGATATACAAGGTAAGATGGGGTTACTACGGCATTTTTGCAGCCACGTGGTAACACTGCATTAAAGAGAGACAGATTGAAGATCATATTCAGTGGCCGGGTGCGAGCTCCTCGATACATCCTAGATGATAGTCATGGGTCCCACTGATTCCCGTCTGTTGTATCTAATACTGTACCCTAAAACACCAAAGTTGTATTTCATATACCATTTTACATTTTGTGTTAATTAGACCGTTTGCTGTTCACTAAACTGTTGTACATTTTAGTTCTAATTCGCAGTTGGTAACTGAAAGTTAATTTTGGGTTTGATTATTGTGTTTCTGGTGTTTTGATGCCAGATAACCCATGTTTACCCAGTACACTTCGTTTAACAGAGGAATAATCTTGTAGCTGTCCAATATTTTGTCGTCAATGTAATTCTTTTTGGAATTATTTGGTTCTATTTCGGATTCTGGCAGAAGACCACGATTTCGTCTCCTCAGAGGTTATTAGCTGAGTGGTAGCGCAAGTTCCTCAAATTAGTCTGGCTAATCAGTCAGTTTCTTCAGGTTTTATAAGCGGAGAGTCAAGTGCTTCGATTTGTTTTGGCCTAGTGTTCCAGTTCTACAGTTTGATTTGCACGATCAAAAAATGCTTGTGATACTGTCATGCATTCTAACTGTAAACTATGCCAGGAGTACATAAACCCAAGTCCCCTTCTAGAGAACAGTCTGCTAGAATGAAAAAGAAATAAGGCGCTGAATGGAATTCCGTTTTACCTGAAAGTTTGGTTGATGAAGATCTTGATAAAGTGAGTATTGGAAATGACAGTGTTTGCTTGCATGGTTTAGTTAATATCCATAATAATTTTCAGGCCTCTTCACTGATTCACAATAACGAACGACTGGCACGAAAGCTAGAATTGGAACGCGAGTAAAGGCACAACAATTCTGAGCATGCCAGTTAGTATCAATGGAGTTGAAGATTGAACGATCAATTCTTGGTTGTTTGCTCAAAATCAACTTCCCCAATTTTCGCGGAGGCATCAGTACGACAGTCATCGTCTCATCGGTCGCTGTTCAGAAAGAAGAGTGAAACATCGTCAGAAGTAATACTATGATTTATTATTGTAATATTTGTTCACAGACCTTAGTTCAGTTATTCTTTTTATATTTTGGTGTAACAATAAAGAAATCTCAAGCGGCCAATCGGTGTTTTGGTTTTTCGTCCGTTATAACTAAGCGTTTCTGAAAACTTCAAGGAACAGCGTGGGCCCGAGCGTAGCAAGAGCTGGGCATTAACGGTTTACGAGACGTGATTGACAGTTTCTGACGACAGAAACAGATCTGGCGGATTCAGACAGTTGGTGAAAGTTTGGATAGTCGCCGTTCATTTTTCCTGGTGCCGGTCAAGTCCTCTTTGAACAAGCAATATCTGGAACTTTTTGGAATTGGGTCAAGTTCAACAATGCCTGGGTCAAAGAAGGGACAGAGTGTCTTGGATGCAAACAGGAAAGTAAGTCATGGTGACTTGTCTGTTAATTGTAACGATGTGTCTGATGTTAAGCATGACATGGTTGATGTTACTGTTTCGCCGTTCAGGGATAATAGGAACATCAAACTCCCTAAATTAGAACCACGGTGTTTCGATGGAAACCCAGCTGATTATTTACAATTTGTAAAGGAGTTTGAGATCATGTTGAGTAGTTTTCTATTAAGTGATGAATTGAAGTTAATGTATTTGATGAGATATTGCACTGGAGATGCTGCAAGAGCTATACAGTGCTGTAAGTTTATGAAGCCAAAAGAGGGCTACTACGAGGCTATGAGCATATTACGTCAAAGGTTTGGAAGACCTTCGATGATTGCAGGGAAATTATTCGAGGCTGTTAAGGGTAATGGTGGTCAATTACAGGATGACTCCCAGGCACTCACTGAGTTTTTAGATAATTTGCTAATTTACAAGAATGCAATGATTTCGATGAATCGCATGAGTGACCTCAACTCGAGTTTTATACTAGAAGTAATAGCAAGACGTCTACCTACTCGACTGCAAAGGAAGTGGGTGAAGATGAGCTCCCGTATGGAGGATGAGGGTATCGAGCCAAAGTTTGATGATATCCTGAAACTGGTAAATACTAGTGTCAATCAATCTATGAGCAAGTTCGCCAGTCTATTACATCTCACCCCTAGAATAGAGCAGTCTGAGAGCAAAATGCAATCATTGATGACGAGTAGGCCTCAGAGAGGTGGATATCGAGAAGGCTCCATGATGTATAGTAATGCATATAGACCTAGTGAGTGTAACAGGTTTCGTAGTACATCCTCAACAGATAAGTTGCAAGATGCAAGACAAACACGGTTGTGTTGTACACGTTTGCAAGAGGTGCATACAAAGGTGAACTGTGAACCAGTGAGCAAGTTCAGTGATAAGCTAAATGTAAACTCCAGGTCTGACTCCGAATTGTGTGACGATAACTGTGCGGTCAGGAAGTCTGTAGTTGCAACTGGTAAGCCATTGTTGAATAGAGTGTCACAGAATAGAGTTACTGCTTCAGAGTGCAGTTCTGACTCCACAAGTTTACAAAGTATAACTAGTCAGAGTGAAGATATAAAACCTTTAATGATTTGTGAGGAGGAACCAAAATTGTCTACTTCTGTTATTAAAGAGTTTGAAAATGATGAAGTTGACGGTAAATTGAATATTTGTGGTAATGATCATGATAGTGCAGATTTGTCTTTGGTTGATCATGATGAAATGGAGGGAATGCCTACTACCGCTAAGTTAAATAAAGGTTCTGTAGAACTTGAACGTGAAGTAGAAATAAATGCAGGTGCAGTTGCAGAAGGCATGCGTACTTGTGAGACCGTCAGTGTGATTGATCAGCATGTAGCCCACCTATCATCAGATGCTAGTGCTAAACCTGAGCTGATAGTAAAAGACAGCAGTGGTGGTGGTCTTGCAGGTAGACAAACTTCTGAAAGCCGAGCAACAACAGCTTCTGATCCACCGCTAACTTCATCAACTGGTATCAATCAGTCGTCGTTGGTGCTGTCATCCACAATGAAAAAGACGCCCATCAACTCAAGTATCTTGTGCAATGACTATGCTAGTATCAGTTCGTTTGAAAGGACGAAAGATATTGGTCAGTTTAGTGAGGATAAGCCAAGTGTAAACGAGAGAGTAATTGTTAAATTGACTTGCACGAATAAAGGCATTTCTAGTTTCAAGTTACTATTTGAATGTTATTATCTTTGGTGTAAATTACTCTGTTTCTACACTTGGTTGATGAGATATGTCGTGTGTTTGTTGGTCATCTATATTCTACGATACAATGACATGGGCGTGTTGCCGTTCAGATTTGAGGATATAGCTGATAGAAGGAAGTTAGCAAATGAACTCTGCGACGATTTTCCAACCTAGAGCGTCAACCTGAGAAGGGTTGTAGGCGTACTGCTGTAAGTCCTACAATTCTTCAAAGGGTAGCGCATCAATGAGCAGTCCAATGTGCTTGGTGTGTGATTTTGTACATATGTTCATATTGTATATACTGAATTGATATCATCTGTCATCTAGCTGTTGGTAATTCTGTTTGTGTCCGGACGACTTCCACTTGGATCATCAACCTGAGAAGGAATGTAGGCGTACTGCTGTAAGTCCTACAGTTCTTCAAGGGTAGTTTGTCATGCTGGAATCCACAACATTTGATGTAGTGATTGTACATATGTTTGTGTTAAATAGTTGTGTGAGTTCCAATTATCGTAATTGTTGGTTAATCTTGTTTGTGTCCGGACATTCCACAAATTACAATCGTCAACCTGAGAAGGGTTGTAGGCGTACTGGTGTAAGTCCTGCAATTCTTCAAAGGAATTCCACCAAGACATGATCGGCGAGGTTGTTTGTACTATTTGTATATACGTGTGGTGTGTCATATCAATTGGTGTTTTTGGATTCATTGTGTTTACTTGTTGTTTTCGTATCTTGTTGTTATTGCGTAATTTTGTTAAAATTTTCGTCGTGATTACTTCTGAAGTTGTTTCGAGTCTTCTACATCCATGAATGAATTGATTGATGTTAAGGACAGCAGATGGGTCGTATACGCCGGGGAGGCTAGGCTATTGCTGAGAATGAAATGCACACGGAGATAATTGTTAGCTGCGGTCCGACACGCCGGGGAGAAAGAGTGTAAACGACTGAGGCTCGCAT